AATCCAAGGAATTCCACAGGGAGAAAAAAAATCAAATAACAGCAAAGAAAAAATCCCCCCTGAAGCAAAATTTTCCCTCTGAAGCAAGGCAGAAGTGACCCAGCAACCACTAAAATTAACAACCCTGAAAAGCTGCTTTTTACTTCATCTAAGCTCACATCCAAGAAAACTGACAAAAAAAAAAAAATCACTCCATGGAGGACAAATCCTCTTGGAACGAGATCCACTGGGAAAAAGCCCCCAGTGGAACCTTAAAGACCATAAAAACCAAACCAGAAACCCCACAGCTGAGGGGACATGAGTGTCCCTCCTGCTCCCACAAAGCCCAAATTGAAGTTCTCTTGAAAAAGATACTGAAAAACACGAGGACTGCAGGATGCACAGTTAGAAAGCAACTGCTTTTTTTGCAAATTAGGATGCAAATTGAAGTTCAAACCGGTTCTGCACAATCCCCAAACTTTTCTTTGCCCATCAAAGCCAGGCAGTTGCAATCAGAGGTCCCACCAGCCATTCAGGGGCTTCTTTAAATGCATTTTAACCAGAATAAACAGCAAAAACAAGCAAAAAAAATGAACAAACAAAACCAAAACAAACACCTAAATTATGTACCTCAATATAAAATCTGATTTAAGATATAAAATCTTATTTAAGGCTTCCTTATCTGGCATTTGGTGGCCTATGCACAGCAAGCTCAAAACCTACTTGTACTTATCTTCCCTGGCATTTTATATCAGATTTCTTGTTGCAAATATGACCCTTCCCTTTGGCTTTTTTTTTTTCTTTTAAAGATGCAATTAAAGATTGACATAAGTAACATAAATATCTTTCTTTTCGTGTGAGCAAAAAAACCTGTTGCAATACAGAAGGTGGCATCACCTCAAAACCTGCCTCTTTCCAGAGTTTCTACTTCAACTTCTGGGGCTGGTTTGGCTTTAGAGAAACAACAATTGGGTGACAACTGCCAGATGTTCAAAGTCACAGGGAGCCAGAAGTTTGAAAGGAACATAAAGTGGAGATTTGTTCTGGGTTTTTTTTGTTTTTTGGTTATTTAGACCTTAAACCATCCCAGCATGTTCAGCCCAAACACTATTCCTTCGATCAATTTTATTTCAGGTTTGGTTGGTTGTTTTTTTTTTTTTTCCCCTGTGTCCTGTGCAGAATCTCTGCACAATTATAAATGTGCAGCTCTCAGAAGTACCAGAATGAAATTAAAGCTGCAGCTGGGCAGTGTCAGCTTGGCTTTGGATGAGCTGAAGGAACACAGGGCTCGGGAGCAGCAGCAAAGTCCAGCTCTCTCCGTGGGAAGTGTCAAAAACCAGAAGTGAAGCTCAAGGCACAGGAAAACCTTTCTTGAAGTTGCCTCCATTGTCCAACAGGGCAGAGCCAGGGATTTGGAAGGCCCCAGAGAAAACCACAACATCCTGCACAAACAGTTTAACTTTGTTTTCAGTTGGATATAATAGTTTAAATAGTTTATTTAATGTATTAGCTTAAATAGCTTAATTTAGTTTTTAACAAATAAAATCTGTTGCCAGAGAAAAACATCAGGAAATTTTCATTAAACTGTGTATTCATTAAATGTGTGTGTGTGAGTATATATTATATGTATATTATATGTTGTATACATTTATATTATGTATTGCATACATTTATATTATATATATATTATATATTGCATATTAAATGTGTGTGCATATATATGTGTGTATATAGATATATATTCCTCATATATTATATTATATATTATTATATATTATTATATATTATATTATTGTATATTATATTGTATTATATTATTCTATATTCCTCATATATATATATATATTAAATTTAGTCATTAAATGTATATTTAAATTGTAAGTGTCCCTAACTCTCCTTTAGACTACCTTGCCAGGAAAATTTTTTTAAAAAAGAGAGAAAAGAGAGAAAAAGAAATAAAAATGAGGACAAACTCATGCACATGAGACCCAGGCCTCCTGCCCACTTCTCACAGCCCTGTGAGTTTGTCTGACTCCAGGCAAGGAGTCCCCATCACCAAATAAGGATGAGAGAGAGGACAGGACACAAATGGAAAGCAGGACATCCTGAATCATCCAGGCCCTGCTTTCATTTCCTCCCTTTCCCCTTCCTTTGTGCCAGGAAGTCCCAGGATCAGACGGGTTCATTCCTAAAAGCGTTAATGAGTTACAGAACCTTCCCCCTGTGACAGGCTCTAAATTCCAGTGTGGAACTACCCTGGCTGAAGCACATCCACATCCCTTTGGGTTTGTGCCAGCGTTGCCTTTGGGCCTGAATAACTTCCTTCCTCCGGGATATTTGGGTCCTTCGCGCGCTCCCAGGCAGGAATTTCATCGCCTCGCTCGGAATCTTCCTGTCCCTCGGCCAAGTCATTCGAGCTCTTCCCATTCTTTCCCGTCCCTGAGGAGCAGGGAAGCGTTTGCAAAAGGACAGGTTTGTACATGGGGGAAGCAAAGGAGGCTCTCACACAGCCAAACTTCCATGGAGGCAGGCACAGAGCTTTAGGAAGTGTTAGTACGGCGGCGCAGGGATGCACGGAATACTTGGAATGCTGGACGGTGCACAAACACCTCCACTGTGGAATTCAGGGGGAAAGCACAGAGCAGGAGAGGGGGGGAAAAATAAACAACCTCACACATGAAGGAAACGAAAAACAAAACTGTTTTCAACTTAATCCCAACGACATTTTCAAATTCTCATGCAACCATTCCTTGCTGTTCGAGATCTTTCCCGGTGGGGGTTTAATATTAGCAGGATGAGGGGATATTTCCAGGATTGATTAATCCTGGCTGTTTATAGGACAAGTGGCTGCTGAATTTACTTTCACTAAGCTACTTCTTTTAACAATACAGGACATCCCTAAGCCTGGCAAAAGCTTATAAGAGCTTCCATATGACAAAGAAGTCTGGGAGACACACACACCCCCCAGCCAGATCAACACACTGAGCAGAAAATGAGGCAGGACAGCTCATCTGTGCAAACAAGACTCAACACTCCCGTGTGTCTCCAAAGGTTTCCAACAGGTAAATGAGTATCAGACATGGAAATGCAATTTAAAATTAATGACACTCCTTGAGGGAAGAGATGGGATATTTAATATATTGCCAGCGAGGTGATTAACCTCAGGTACCACAATCAGCAAGTGATTGGCTTATCAGATTTATTCTATAGAACAAAACTGGTATGCAAAGGGATCCCTGAAGACTAAATCAACACATCCCCAACTGCCTTGAAGAAAATCAACCAGAAAATGCTACACAGGCAAGCATAAAATATCAGTATTTTCCCCCTGTCAATCCAGAACAAAAGCTGCATAATATTCAGATCATAATGCTTAGATACAATCAGCAACTCCTGCCAAAGAACAGTTTTTAAACAGCTCATCTCTCAGTTAATCACCAAAAGAGTTTGCTAGAAAGGTCACAGCTGGAGCTGCTGGATGCTGAATTTTTTATTTTTTGGGGGGTGTTGGCTCGTTTTCGGGGTTACATTTCTGTTGTGGTTGGGTTGGTTTTGGTCGGGGTTTTTTTTTTAAGACGTTTGGGTGGTTTAATGAGCTCTGAGCCTGCCTGAAAATGAGCAACGACACTTGCAGTGCACTTTAAAGCCCTGGACTTGTACATCTCCCTGCAATCCTGCCTCCCGTCCCTCCGTCAGGGTGGTACCTCAGCACAGCGGAGCTCAGTTTACACATCCCAGAGGACACCGAACTGACCATACAGGGACAGGAATCTGCTCCTCTAAGCCACAGCTTTGTTCCACGGCTCAGTGAAGAGCCAGCCCAACACCTCAGTCTAAAAATCAAGGTGTGAACGCTGACCTGTTAACCCCAAACTAAAACCTTCCACAACACCCCGGGTGCTGGAGCTTTATCCGCACGACTGAGCCCACCCCGCTCACCCACAGGCAACATGTAACACAGGTTCATCAGCAACATGTAGCAGTCCGATATTCGGTATTTTCTCCCGCAGAAGCGTCCCCACGATCAGCTCAGACCTTCCCACATTTACAGCGTCATGTTTGTATCGCACCCAGCAGAGCTCAGAGGCTTTTCCCCCTCCACACACACACTCTCCCTGCCGTCCCCAGCACATGTTAATCACCGAAAAACAGATTTACTGCAACTCGCGATTGTTTGGTGTAACGCCAAGGACAGAGGGAAACCAAAACAAAAGCACCTTCTCTACAAATCTGCGGTTTCCAATGTAATTTCTCCCACACGCGCGTTGCTGAAATATGCTGCTGGAAACGTGTAATTTGGCGCTCACTGGGTAATTATATAAGCTAAGAATTGAGCAGACACCATTAGGGACTAGGAGAGGAGAGTTATTCAAGTTTCCCTCTGTTTTCCCACCGGGTTTTTTTTTCCACCTCGCGTATGTGACAGAAGTTTGTTTATGGCCGACAGCACCATCCCTTTAGCCGGCAGCGGAGGCTCCGAGCAGGTACCACGCCGGGGGTACCGCGCAGGGACCGGGATGGATAACCGGGATGTTCCAGGGGTAACGCGGGCAGTGCTGGCAGCCCCGCAGCCCGCCCCGCGCCCGGCCCGCGCCCCCCGGCCACACTCACTCGGCAGAGCTGGTGCCGTTCACGGCGGATCCATCGGGAGCGGGGTTCAGCTGGATCGGCCCGGGCTTCTTCTTCGGCATCTTGCGGCGCGCGGGGCGCGGGGGCGGGCGGGGCGGCCGCGGCCCCGCTCCGGGCGGGACCGGCCACTTCCTGCGGCGGGGAACGCGCCGGCTGTCCCTCGGGCGGCGCTGCCCCCGCGGGCTTGCGGGAGGCGGCGGGTGCGGGTGTGGGAGCGCGGCGCCCGCTCCGAGCGCTCCGCGGCTCCGGCGGCACTGCCCGGGCTGGGGCTGGGGAGCTGGAGCGGGATCGGGATGTGCCCGGCCGGGACCGCGCCGGCGCGCGCCGACCGCCACCGCACCGCGCACGCGCGGGGGGAGGGCGCATGCGCACGGCGCGAGGTGAAGCCGCGGGGAAGCGCTGCCCTCAGTGCGCCCTCAGCGCCCTGCGCGCGGTGTTGGGAATAAAGTCCTCCCTGGACCGGCGGGAGGCCCTGGCACAGGCTGCCCACAGAAGCTGTGGCTGCCCCATCCCTGCAAGTGTCCAAGGCCAGGTTGGACGGGGCTTGGAGCAACCTGAGATAGTGGAAGGTGTCTCTGCCCATGGAATTAGGGCTGGAATGAGCTGGTCTTTAAAGTTGTTTCCAACCCAACCCAGTCTGGGAATCTACGATCTTCCGATGTTAAAATTCATGCTAGAAATGAGCAGGTGTCTTGAGCAGTCATATATCCCACCTAAGTACAAGGGTGACTTATAAAGAACCTCGAACGTGTTGTAAATAAGCAGGAGTTGCAAAGCAGTGTATTTTTCCAAAGCAGACCCCTTTGCATTTAAAGGGAATTTGGATCTCTTGGAGATGTTTTAACCGCAAGTTTTATGAGGCTGCCCCGGAGTCAGCCCAGACATTCACCTGTGCACTGAGCCATGAGACTTGTGGAATTCCTGGCTGGTTTTACTGGCAGGTTGTGGCCTCCCCATCCCTTTGGGAATTGTCCAACCCCAGGCTGGGCAAGGCTTGGAGCAACCTGGTCTAGTGCAAGGGATCCCTGCCCACGGCAGGGCATTGGAACCAGATCATCTTCACTGTCCCTTCCCCCCGGTCCACTCTGTGACTCCATAGCACATCCCACAAGGAGAGGGGAAGGATCAGCCGCTCCCACCCCACGGTCCCCTCAGCCTCCCAGTGGGGAACCAGTGGCAAAGTAGGACAATGGTGTCCTGGAACAGCTCGGCTGGACCTGGGCCACTGGAACTGGCATTTTGTATATTTTATATAATATAAATAATATAATATATATTATATTTATATAATATAAATATTTCACATTACATATATTTTATATATTGTATATATTTTATATATTTCATATGGGCCACTGCACCTGAGCATCCCTGCTCCGCTCCAGCAGGGGTCTGTTCTGGGGCAGCAAAATCACCGTAAGAGTAATATCATAGAACCACAGAATAATATATCCTTTTACTTTGGTCAGTGGCAGCTGTTCCTCCAAACCAGTTCTCTTTCCAAGAGGGAGAATTTAAATGTAAGGGTTCTGTTGTTTAGTTATAGATCTCAGGGGAGGTGGGATATGGAATATTTGGATCAACAAAGCCAACCTGGTCTTTTTCATATACAAGACATATGAATACATCACTTAAATGAACAACTTCTTTACAGGTTTTATACTGCCATGAGTGGATTCAGACACAAGTTAAAAAGTAAGTGCAGAGTAACTTCCATAACAAAATTTATACTGTAAATACTTTCTATAAAGAACCAGTCTGAATTCTGCATGTTTGAATTCTAAAATTAAAATTGTGTTTTTAATCAAAGTAGTCATTAACTGAGATGATGAACATATGATGCAAAAATGCTATATGGTTCCTGACATCTTACATTTCTAAAGTATAAAAAAAAGATTAAATTACTCTTTTCACAGCTTTGCCGTTCAAAGACCTGTTCCCTCCATCCAATTCCAGCTATTAAGGGAGAGCTCCCTCCTCTGGAGCGCTTTATCCTTGCGCTGAGAACATCGGGCTGTGGAAGCGCTGAGAAATTACTGAATTCAGTAAAATCTCTTTTAAAGTCCCTTTGACCCATAGCACAAAACGCAAAATATATTGGATTCACTGAATACAGAAATAAATTCACGTGTGTACGGGCTGATACCACCGAAGAAATCATTTCTGTGCTGTTGTAGGTTGGTTTGAACATCTGTAAAACAAATAGATTTAACCTCAGGGCGTTTGCAACCGAAAATTAAGTACATTTCCCCAGCCAAAACAAAACACGTGTTTTGGGAATTTGAATGTTCTCCGTGGAAGGAACTGCATTTTCTTCACAAACAGGTGTTTCTGGGGGTGAATCACAGAGGAAAAGATGAATTAAAAATAGGTGGTGGTGTAATTTCTGTGAGAGGCTTCTGAGCAGAGAGAGTTTCTGATTTATTGATTCCACCACTGCTTGGAAAAATAGAGGTAATTTGTCTCTGTAAATAGAAGTGGAACAAAGAAACTTGTCTTCATTACCACTTTTTTCCCTTATGGAAACACAATTTTTTTCCTATTTTCTTGTCTGAAAAGAAAACCACAATTACTGTATAGATTAATTGCAGCTAAATTAGCCCAACTTTTCAAACTCTACTGCCACATAAAACTGCATAGTCCCCTGCCAAAACATGCACACACAATCTTCTATTTGTAAGATTCAACACTTCTTAATCTATTTAATGGTTAGCAAAGTGAGTTAAGGAAATAATTAGTCCTTAAAGCAATGGAATTTAAGAAGCCTGGTTCGAATTTGATTAAAATTGGCCAACAGGATCAAAAATTAGTCGAAGGGGGCTGACAGAGAGACTGCCTTGAACACCTTGTTTTCCTCAAGAAACAGGAGCACTGTGGGTCAGAACAAAATTTAAATGCTTTGTGATGTACTAAATTAATGTTTAAGGTGACTGTATAACGTAAAATTCAGATTAGATTAGCAAGATATAAATATAAATAAATATAAACCCCAAATAGCTGAAATTTGCTTAATGCCTAAGATGTGATTTCCCACTAACACAGCTACAATGGGACCAGTTGTGCCGAGGGTTTATCCCATGAAAAGCTTTGCCAACATAATATTCAGAGGGTTTTTTGCAGAGCAAACGCTGCTCCCTTAGGAATAAACCCCTCCAAGCCCAGAAACAGGCAATTATCCCTCTGACAGGTTTGCTTTGCCATATATTCCATGTAACAAACCAGGAAATGAGACTGAAATATAAAATAAGGTGCAAATTTTCTGCAGCTTTTCTAATGGAATTACATTAATCCACACAGAAACAAACAGTGATATTTCCATGTCGCCTAAACTAGAAACCAGAAGCGTTTTCTAGAACAGAAGCAACATATGCTGGGGCTTTTTCTGTTTGTTTTTTATTTCCCTGACTTATTATTTTATCAGCATGTGGCTGGTTATTCATTTCCTGAGGAAAAACCAATAATCAATGTCTGCCAGCATTTGCTTTTTATTTAATTAGGAACATAGGACTGGAAAGAACCACTTAGATCACCAAGCCCAGTCTCTAATTAAACACTCTTCAAAAAATATCGATTCATCAAAGTTGCACAAATATGGTCAGTTTTATAACACTGTATCTCTGCAGAGACTGTGAGTGATCTTCTGCTTTTTTTGTTTGTAAGGGTTTTTTAGTATAAAGAGGGACTATTATTTCAATGCAAAGAGCTCATCACACAGACATCTGATTTTCAGTGATTTTATATGGCACAATTACAGTGCTTTGCACTGGAAATTAGCAGCATTTGATCTATGATTATTATTATTAAATCTTTGTGTTAATTTTCATACTTCAAGTGCCTCAGTCGATTGAAGAAATTGGCCATATCTAAAAAGTTCAGACAAATGGATTCACTCCTAAAAAATCCATTAGCGTGTTCTCCATATATTTAATGTATTCTTGACTGTAAAAGATGCTGCTGCAATCGGGAGTACACATTTTAAACATTAACTGTTAAAATAATTTTAACCACAAAGTAACTACAATTGATTTTGTCGTACTAGAAGGAATACATTAAATTACCAGAAACACTGTATGTCAAATTTGAATTTATAGAGGAGGAAAAACCCAATTCCTTTAATGTGTTAATATTTTTGATTAATTTCTATAATTTTGTTTGAATGAAGAGACTGTAATTTAAGCCAGATACCCTTCTGTGGACTAGGATGTAAAATATGAGAAGGATTCTACAGCTCCCACTGTGTTGGAGTCGGGAGCCTGGAGCCTCTCCTGTTGTTTCTGCAGCCCAAATCCTTACATGGCATTTTCTGTGCACAGCTGCCAAATCCCTGAGGGCTCGACATATTTATTCCAGCCTGGACAACTGCAGACTGTTCAGTTTTAAATTACCAGGAGGCTCTGGCTGACATCTGGATGGAGAGGAGCTTGGGATCGCTCCCTGTCCTGGGGCTGCAGTGTGTCCAGGGAAGGGAACGGAGCTGGGAAGGGGCTGGAGCAGCAGGAGCAGCTGAGGGAGCTGGGGGGGCTCAGCCTGGAGAAAAGAGGGATCGGGGGGACCTTCTGGATCTGCAACTCCCTGACAGGAGGGGGCAGCTCCCAGGGAACAAGGGACAGGAGGAGAGGGAACGGCCTCAAGCTGTGCCAGGGGAGGCTCGGGTTGGACATCAGGAGGAATTTCTCCATAGAAGGGGTGGTCAGGCCTTGGCAGGGGGTGCCCAGGGAGGTTTGGAGTGCCCATCCCTGGAGGTGTCCCAGGAAGGACTAAATGTGGCACTCAGTGCTCTGGGCTGGGGGACAAGGTGGGGACAGGGCACAGGGTGGATCCATGGGCTGGGAGGGCTTTTCCAACCTCAATAATCCTGTGATTCTGTGAAGTGAGAAAGGGCTCAACAGGCACTATTTTAAATCTCATCCCTGGAACTGATTCATTGTGGGGCTTTGCAACGTAAGATACTTCAAATTTAACCCTCATCCCGTCAGGTTTTGCCAATGAGGTGACGCTCCAGGGAGCCAGGGGGGGCTGGGGGTGCTGGACATGCCCTGGCCGTGTGCCCTCACAGCCCAGAACCCCCCATGCCCTGGGCTGATCCCACACCAGGGGCAGCAGGGCAGGGGAGATTCTGCTCCTCTGTCCCCTCAGGTGAGACCCTCCTGCAGAGCTGCCTCCAGCAGCTGGGGAATGGACATGGAGCTGCTGGAGTGAGTCCAGAGAGGACCATCAAAATGATCAGAGGGATGGAGCAGCTCTGCTGCTAGAAAAGGCTGAGAGATTGGGATTGTTCAGCCTGGAGAAGAGAAGCTTCAGGGTGACCTAATTGTGACCTTCCAGTACCTGAAGGGAACTTACAGGAAAAATGGGGCAAGACTATTTAGAAGAGCCTGGAGTGACGGGACAAGTGGGAATGGATTCAAACTGACAGAGGGCAGGGTTAGATGGGATATTGGGAAGAAATTCTTCCCTTTCAGGGTGGGGAGGCCCTGGCACAGGCTGCCCAGAGAAGTTGTGGATGCCTCATCCCTGGAAGTGTCCAAGGCCAGATTGGATGGGGCTTGGAGCAACCTGGGCTGGTGGAAGGTGTCTCTGCCCATGGAATTAGGGCTGGAATGAGCTGGTCTTTAAGGTCCCTTCCAACCCAACCCAGTCTGGGAATCTGTGATGTCCAGATGTTAAAATTCATGCTAGAAATGAGCAGGTCGTATATCCCACCTAAGTACAAGGGTAATTTATAAAGAACCTCAAACACGTTGCAAGGATTGTAAATAAGCAGGAGTTGCAAAGCAGTGTATTTTTCCAAAACAGACTCCTTTGTGTTTATAGGGAATTTGGATCTTTTGGAGATGTTGCTTTAACTGCAAGTTTTATGAGGCTGCCCCGGAGTCAGCCCAGACATTGACCTGTGCACTGAGCCGTGAGACTTGTGGAATTCCATTTATCTTCCCTGTGATTCTGTGCAGTGTTCTTGGTTCAAGGAGAAGTTTCCTAGGACTTTGTCTTGTTGCCCGGGTTTGGCACAGTCACGTAACATAGTAGTGTGTGTTCTCCAAACCACACGGTGTCTTCATGTTCCTAATGCTTAATTTCAGCTCCCTGATAGAGGTTGTTCATGAAAATTATGTAGTGAAGTGCCTGCTTTGTTCTCTGAATTGACAGTTGAGCTGTGAGACTGTCCTGGCTGGAATTCTTGGCTATAAGGCTTGTGGAATTTACTGGTAGGTTGTGGCCTCCCCGTCCCTATGGGAAGTGTCCAACGCCAGGTTGGACAAGGCTTGGAGCAACCTGGTCTAGTGCAAGGCGTCCCTGCCCACGGCAGGGGGGTGGAAGGTGACCACCCTCACTGTCCCTTCCCCCCAGCCCACTCTGTGACTCCATAGCACATCCCACAGGGAGCGGGGAAGGATCGCTCTCTCCCACCCCTGGAGCCCCCTCAGCCGCCCGGCCCCGCCCACACCATTTTGGCGCCAAAGCCCCTCAGCCGCCGCTCCCGAGAGCTCGCGAGACGCGCGGCTCTCGCGGGACTTGGGGGCCCCTCGCGGCCCGGCCCGGGCTCCTCACGGCGGGATCCGCGCGGAGCCTCCGTCCCGCCGGGATCTGCCCGGGAAAGGGCTTCTCCTTCGAAATACAAACGTGCCCGGAGCCCGGGGAGCACAGCCCTGCCGGGACCGGCTCACCCCGGCCGCGCTCGTTTGCAGTCTCTGGAATTAGCTTCGCTTGAGAGCCGGAAAAGGGACTCCCCCCTCCAGACCGCGTTTCCAAGTAAGCTGTGAATTTGGGGAATGTTCGGTATCAGGGATGTGAGGGGCACACAGCTGCCCGGATAAGCGCTGTGGTTACAAATCTAATTGTTTTGTTTTATTTCTGCCACTCCCAGGTAACTTTGACGAGTTGAAACATGACAAACCCTTTATTTTATCCGGCTGGGTTGTGTCATCCTTCTGCACGGTGTTTGCTGCTTAATTTGTGTCACGGTCTGATTTCTGCTTGGCAAACCTTTGAAAAATCTGTAGACTTACTGTATATAATTGGTGTTTTTCTGCCTCTGTGGCAGCCTCGCTGCTTGTCTTTAACGCTTTTGGTGTTTTGTTTTTTTTTGCAGGAGTGGAAAAAAAGCTGCTTTGTGGCGATGTTAGATCCTTTAGAGAACAACCTGTTTGATCTCCCGGATTACGAGAACACAGAGGACGAAACATTCCCACCTCTCCCACCTCCTGCCTCTCCTGGAAGAGACGATGCTGACTGGGCTGAGGGTCATACAGGTGAACACCCAACCCCGACCCCTAAAAAAATCACCTCTTTGTCTATTTTTTGAGGGCATTGCAGGTGGTTTAGGTCTGCCTTTCATCTCTCTCAGTGGAAACTTTGGGACACTCCTGTCAAATTCTGCCTCTGGATCACTTGAGCATCTTGACCTTTAGAAGCAGGATCTGCTCTCGATACATTTCTCATCAGAAATGCCATATAAAAGTTCTAAAACGAGAAAGTTGCACTTTCAGGAAGCTTAGTATGTTAGAAAAGTTGATTCTTCATATTTTGCAGAGAAGGATTTGTTTAAATTCTGTCTTGTGGGAGAAGCAGAGTGAAGCATGCAGATATTTTTTTGGGCTGTTGTCCCTACCATGGAATGCTTGTGATGCTGCTTTTTTGGTAGGGCAGAAACTTAAAATGTCCATGATGCAATTCTGGTTGATGTCAATTGAATGATATACTCAAAATGTGTTTTCTTCCCTGGATGCAGATGGGAACCAGCAGACACAAACCAAGGACTCTGCTGTGGTCACACGGAATGCTCTTAAAAGACCAAGGCCTAAACTGGATGCCCAGAGGTAAATTTTAACAGAATGTGTCTTTTTGTGATGAATTTGGCTGTGGGAGAATGGTGAAGGTTCCTGTGATCCCTGCTGAGTCCCAGGTCAAGAGATTGGCAAAGTGCCTTTTGGATGCAGTGTCTGAACCTTTTATTCCTTGCCTGCTGTATAATGCTGGTTTTAGTCAAACTTGCTTGAATTCTTCTTGGGACTTAGTACATGACTGGAACTTTAAGAGATATTATTTATACATATTTGTTGTTTACACCTAAACATCTTGATTTTGCTTCAGGCATAGAACCGTAGATTTCTTGGTTTAATTAAAGTCTGCTTCAAAATAAAACCTCAATATGATGGGGACTGTAAGACACTAAATAAAGCACACTTTTTATATGCACACCTGATTTATATACAAACTGGATAAACTTTATAGAAAGGGGTTTTATATTTTCTTTGCTGTTATGACTAAAACTGGTGTAAGTTCTTTATAACCAATAAGGAATCCAAGCTTTCAGTTTTCAAAACTGATTTAAATACACTGGTGGGTTAGTCAGTGATACCACAGGTGAGTGCTCTGGGCACACATCACACTGGTTTTTTGTGGCCAGTATAGATCCTAGAACTGACCATTCAATTCTCTTTCATGTAATCAAAACCAAAAAGCTGCTTGGACCAGGACTACGAGTATTGTGAATTAGAAAGATCAGAAAGGTGTGGGTCTTGCAGCAATCTTTGTCCTATTTTGTGCATTCTCTTAATGGCTTCTGATTCCCTACTTCTTTCAGGTAGAGCTCTGGAGCTTTGGGCTTTTTTAAGGAATCTGAGAGTTTTTTTCTTTTTTACTTGCAAAGTGAAAGAAGAAAGCAGGTTTCAAATAACTTCTGCCATTCCCTGTTACCAGATTAACCTCAGAAAGGGGACTGCCAGCCCTCAGACACATGTTCGACAACGTGAAGTTCAAGGGCAAAGGGCACGAGGTGAGACTGGGGGAGCTCTTGTTGTGTTTGCTGGGGTTGCTCTGGCTTTGATGGAGTGCTGACAGTCTGGTCCTGGCAGAACTGGCAGCACACTGCTTGGCAGCTCTCTGGCACTGTTTGAACATGCTCTCATGGGCTTTGTTGTTGCAAGTTTTAAACCAACCGTGAACGCTTTAAAAAAATCCGTGTTTTTGATCTTAAAACCGTTTTCCTCAACTCCAAACCTAGAATTGGCTTGCATGCCCTTAAAAGTTACCCATGTGTTCATCTTGCTTAAATTTCCAAGAGACTTTGAAGCTGCAGATAGTTCCTGTTTTCAGGAGTGTTGCTGTCCCCTTTCCCTCTGCAGTCTCCTGCCTTTGTCAGCTTTTAGCAGCTGGGTGTTGTTTTTTATGCTGTAGGCAGAGGACCTGAAGACACTCATGCAACATATGGAGCACTGGGCCCACAGACTGTTCCCAAAATTGCAGTTTGAGGATTTTATTGACAGAGTGGAGAATTTGGGAAACAAAAAGGAAGTCCAGGTATGTCATGCCCTATGGAACAGTCCAAGAGGTTGGTTTGGGAGATCAGTTATGCAGCGAAAGAAGACTGAAGTTGTGCATACTGCTGAGAATTATTAATTTCTCTCTATTTAAAGCCCTTTCCAGTATTTATATTTAGATATAAATACTGGATTATTATTTGAATTATTACTTCAGAGAATTGACTTCAGCATTTTCAGAACATCTTTAACCACAGTGAGTTGCTTCAGAGTGCTGGGACTGGTTGGGTTTGGGGGTTTTGTTGCTTGGTTTTTCGTGTTCGAACCTGCCAAAGAAGATGAATGTTTGCTTCACCTGGCTGGGGGATGGATGTAGGACTGGGAAAAACGATCCACAGCACTGACAGACGTGGGTCTAACAGACATGGAGTGAAAAGAGTATTTTGTCAGAGTAATAAAGTGTAAAAGTGCTGTGGGTTTACCCTTATTTCCAGTGTTGACCAAAAAAACTCACTACAGTTGAAATACCAGTATTTAATCTCTCCTTTGCAGACCTGCCTAAAGAGGATTAGACTTGATCTTCCTATTTTACATGAGGACTACAAAAATAATGAAGGTATGCTCTCTGTGATGTTTGTCAGTGCTTCAGTGCACTGCTGGGTCTGGCAGTTTTGGCACATCACTGCTGGGGAGTATTTCTTCTCCCGGGATGAAAATCCAGCCACTTAACGAGTAGGTACTTCAAGAGTCTCTTCCGATCAGATAAAGATTAGACAGAAACAATTTTTTAACTAAAAGAGGAAGCAGAGGTGGTTTGAAAGAAGCTTTTTTAGTAGAAATGGAGAATTTCATCATCATTCCTGAGGTGCTGTGCAGGTTTTCACACTTCCATCGTGAGTGTCTCTTGAAACCATTGTCCTCTTTGGGCTCACGTGGAGCTCCGACTCCAGACCTGCCAGTGCCTGGGAATGGAGTTCTGGTGGATGAGTTCACCTGGTGTCCCCAGTGGGATGTTCCTTGGGCAGCTGGTGACCTGTGGCCTGCCCTCCCCGTGGGCTGCACTGGCTGGAGAAGGGTGCAGCCCTGGGCAGCCACACACAGTGACTGTGGGTCCTGCCGACAGGCCCTGCAGAGCCATCAGGCGTCCTGTGCGAGGGTCCCACACATCTGGGCTCTGTGCTGCTGGGCTGCTCTCAGCTGGGGGTGGTGCTGCAGCTGCTCTGAAAACCTTGGGTGGGCATCTCCCAGAAATCCAACCTGGAACTGGAGTGTTGTGGGAACAACCAGCTCACGGTTCTGTTCCCAGGCTGAAGTGGTGCACAGGCCCTGGGCACTCCTTTGGGAGTGCTCTGCTGCTCTGTTGGTGGGTGAAGCTTGTCTGATTAAACTGCCTTAAACTGACATGTTTCAGTGCTGGCAGACAAGTAAATATTCCAGTATTCCATAACAGAGCACACTGAATTCAAACCTGAGTATTCAATGGGAATGTTCAAGCCTCTGATTTGTAGAATCCTGGAATGGTTTGGGTTGGGAGGGACCTTAAAGCTCATCTTGCTCCACCCCCTGCTGTGGGCAGGGACACCTTCCACTAGCCCAGGTTGCTCCAAGCCTCATCCAAGCTGGCCTTGAAAGTTTGGAATTCCCATAGCTACTCCTGCCACTTCCTAAAGGACAGTGTCACATGAATAGGGTGGGATGAACATTTCCTGGCCTTTGTGTAAGGATTGCCTGGATTTACTGTCTCTTTTGAACCTTCAGGCACAGGTCCTGTAGCTCCCTCAGGACACAGAGCTGTGCCTCTCTATGCTCAGACACTGGTTATTGGGGGGGTCTCTGATGAGCAATTCTTGTATCCTTTGAATATCAGGTATGTGGACCTTGGCAGAAAATTACCCATTCAAACTAAACTATGGGGTGATCTTCAGCTGCCAATACAACTTCAGGATGTAGAACATAGAAATGCTTTGAAAATGTACTTTGATAGGTGTGTAGTGGGTTTAAAGTGTTGATTTGTGTCCCTCTCCCCCCTCCCACCCCTCATTTTTACCCAGAAGGAGAAGGGGAAAGCAATGGACTGGATGCAGCTGCTGAAGATGCACATTCCTGCTCTGGGAATGCAGAAGAACCCAAATCCCTGCCTGGCACAGCTCTCACAGAGGAGCAGCAGGAGCGGATGAAGAAGAACAGGCAGCTGGCCCTGGAGAGGAGGCAGGCGAGGCTGCAGGGGCTCAGCCAGGCCCAGCTCAGCCAGGCCCAGCTCAGCGGTGAGAACCTGAGTCAGCACTAACCCTCAGGGCAGGGCCTGAGCAGCTGCTGGGGAAAGGACGTGGCAGGGGCTCCTTGTGCAGCTCTGGAATTTCAACAATTTTCCTGTAGTTCAGCTCCTCAGCTCCTCGCTGCTCTCCCTGGTTGCTGTGCTGAGCTGTGATAGCTTTGTCCTTGGTGCAGTGGAGCTCAGCTTACTGGCTCTCTCTGAGTTGCCTTTCCTGCAGGCTGGAATTCTGGTGCTGGAAGCAGCAGGTAAACACAGCAAGTGTTTGCTCATGTTTTCCCTTTTCTCCTCCCCAGAGCTCCCCGCCAGTTCCTCAGGAGAGGAGCTGCACACCCCGGTCACTCAGGATCCCACTGACCTTACTGAAGACACTCCAGTTCCTCCAGCTGCTCTTACAGAAGATGGGGATGGAGCATTGGAATGTGCCAGGGAAGAGCAGTAGCTGTTCCCACACCCTGGATGCCTTTTTGAGCCAAAGAACCCACTGCTCCAAGTACTGTGTTACACTGAGCTGTCGCTGGCTCACTGCACTCCATGAGCCCAGGGAAGTCCTCACCGTGGCACTGCTGCAGTGGGACACAGCTCTTCCCTGGAAGCTGCAGATGAGCAGCTCCACACACCAGGAAACAGAACAAACTTCTCCAGCTGCACTTAAACCATCTTTTCCACCTCCCACAACGTTTTTAGGAAATATTAATGAGGTTTTTTATCTACTTTGAATTCAGTTTATAATTTATGCCAAACTGAATTACCTGGGGTGTTGACAGGTGAATTTCTATTAAAGTTGTGTTGTTTGGGGTTTTTTAACAGCTCTGTTTGGGTCTGAACAGGGGGACTGGAACGTTTTAACATGTTTATGCAGACCTGCATCTTTTTCTTATAAAATTAAAGTTATTAAATTTCCAAAGTCAAACCTGAAATTCTTGTATGAGGCTGTTCCAAGGCCAGGCCCTCCAAACTTCCCCATCCCTTGGGTCACACATCCCTTCCCAGACAGGTTCCTGCTCTCAGGGAAAAGGCTTTGGCTTTGACCATATCCCTGACCCTCCCTCACCTGATTCTGCTCTGTGCTCGAGGATCTGCTTCATCCTCTTCTTACAGTCTGGTTTTTCCTTGCACAGCAGCTTTCCCCTTGTGTGGAATGAAGAGGAATCACCCCCTCCAACAACAAAAGTACTGAATGAAGCAGTAACCTCATGGCAACGGGTGTATTTTATGCTGATGTGCAGCTCTGGGATTTCACTACACAGAATTCCCTGTTCCAGGTCAGTGTGAGGAGTTTGCCTTTTATATCCTTGTAGAAATGAGTTCAACTCATGGAACTAGAGTGGAATGAGGAAGTATTTAGGTTTTAATGATTTATGGACAACGTGAGGAAAGGATTTTTTGAATGATATTTAAAAGAATTCAGCACACTGCCTTTAGTCTGAAAGATGAGTTTTATCACATATAAAATCTTTTGGTAACTCAATACATGTTCACAATCAGATAAAAATAATTCTTATTAAAATAGACATTTAGCTTCTTATTAAAAGGACTCTTGAGTATTTAAATAAACTGCTTTGTACAACATCCCCCAAGCACTCGTGAGCAGGAGCAGCTGCTGCTGGGTCACAGCTCAGGTCTCACGTCCATTGACACGTCCAGCAGTGCCAGCTCCCGGATCTCCTCCAGCAGCTGGTACAGGCTGGGCCCCTTGGTCTGGCAGAATTCCCGGTATTCCTCCTCCAGCACTTCCCCCCTGCCTTTCTCCTGGGCACGCTGGGCTTCCTCTGCCCCCTGACTGACCGCCTTCACCACGTCCGCCCTCGCCAGCTGGGCACTGCTGTGGGCAGGCTCGCTGGCTGCGCTGGGGTGAGGGGCATTCCGGAGGATTTCCAGCCTGATGGTGTCGGCGTGGCAGCGGGAACTCTGCACCAGGATTCCCACCTGCAAAGCAATTATTTTATTAACCTCTGATAGTGCCACTTCCCTTTCCTGCCCCCAGCTGAAAGACTCACTGTGATGTGATCGAACAGGCTCAGTGTCACCGAGTCCCCGGTGGTTGGAGTGGAGGTGATTTTGCCCTGGGAGCGATGGAGCGATCCGGGCTTCCACTCACAGCTCCCGGCCCCTCCGCACGAGATGACCAAGCCCTCCTTGTTCCTCATGTATGCAGCACCTTTGATTCCATACCTGCACAGCAGGGAGCACACAGAACCTGTTCTGTTTTCACCCTCATCAGTTCTCTTAGTTCTGAAAGAACTGGCTGGGGTTATAGAAGAGCAACACGAAGGGCAGGCACAGCAGCCTGGGAATCCTGCAGGAACTCTGAGGGTGCTGCCAAAGAAACCCAGGAAGTACAGGAAAACAGTGCTGAGACAGTGACTGAAGTGTTTTGAGGGCAGTGAAGCAAAAGTGAAATAGTGATCCATTATCTGAGGGTTGGGTGGAGCCTGGAATGGCTCAGTGAGGGTTGAAGAGCAGCTTTACAGGTTTTTCCAGACAGCACAGTGAGGACACAGCTCTCCATTAAAAATAAAGATACTTGAAACCAGCAGCATGTTTGCCCTGGGTTCTCTCTAAGGAAGCTTTTCCTGGTTGGGGAGGTTCTGGCTCTTCAGCCATGCAGCCAACCCTCTGGAACGCACAACACATCTTAGAAACTTTAAAATACAGATTTAAAAGCTCAGAAATTAAAGTGTAATGTTAGTTTCATGTAAAGAGGTGCTTCCTGCTGGCATAAATCAGGGGCTGAGCTGGTGTGGAAACACTCCTGGTCCCAAGGACCAGAGCTCCTCTGGTAACACGGAGGTGTCGTTGTTCAGCTCCCCCCGAGCCCCACGGGACCGACCTGGGCACGAAGACGAGGACGCCGTTGGTGCGGATGGAGTAAATGACCCCGTCGGCCACGCAGCGCTCGTCTGTCTCAGGGCTCCTGTCCCTGAAGTACATGCACTGGAACAGCTCCGTGGACTGCTTCTGAGCTCGCTGGGCTGCCTGGGAACACCCCCCGCAGAAAGAGAGGACAAAAAACCTACATAAATATTTCAACAAGCGTGTTTGGTTTCGATTTCCACAGCTGCTTTTTCCCATTCCTTACTCCCCTGCCTGTCCCCTAGAAAAATTCCATCTAAGAGGAAATCCTACACGTGGTACAGTGAAGTATGAAGTCACTGTTACTACCACTCTCAGAAGAAAACTGATATTTAAAAAAGCCCCAAAGCATTCCAAATAAAACCAAAGGGATCCTGTGTCCTCACAGTGCCCCAAAGCCACAGTCAGCACCGGGATCCCATTCCCTAGGGCGGCACAGACATGGAGACTCCCCAGGGACCACCTTACCCTGTTCCTGTTATTGATGTGTCTGCACAGCTCCTCCAGATCCTTGTTGCTGATGACATGGTCCTTGCCATCCCCTGCAGTTCCCCTCAGAGTCGCTGCCATCAGGAGCCTGTGGACGACGATGTCCGCGTACCTCCTGATGGGGGAGGTGAAGTGGGTGTACTTCTCCAGGGCCAGTCCTGCCAGGGAAAAGGGAGCAGAGATGAGCAATCCCAGCCATCCTCTGCCTCCCCACAGCCCAGAAACAACGGGAACAGCATAGAAACGACCAGATACCGTAATGGTGAAACTCGTCCTCGGGACAGGAGCCAGTGGAGAAGTAGAGGGCGTTGGACATGGCGTGGGTGGCCATGGAGCGCAGCAGCTTGTTCACAAGGGGGTCTGAGGGGTCGTTGGCTTTGTCCAGAGACTCGGCCAGTGCTTTGTTAGACCTGGAAAAATCTGTGAGTGCTGAAGGAAATGACACTGTCCCTGGTCATCAGGGCTTAGAGTTAACAGCAGCATATAAAAACACCGAGACATTAACAGTTATTAACACAGAAATGGAAAGTGGGATGATATTGAAACTTTCA